TATGCTCCGTTACGCGTAAGTCGGGAGCATGCATAGCGAGGAGCAAAATTCCTATTCGGGACCGTTAGCAAACTTCTCTATTTCTATCTTGCTCGCTATTCTGCTATTCTTGCTATCGCGGTAATGCGCCACGGACCGCCGGTTAAAAGAGGCCAATCGTAAACGTCAGGATATATCGCCACAATACTAATGCCGGACGGATCGAGTCGAGAGCACGATCGAGATGCAGCATCCCAAATACTCGCGGGACGGAAATTACGAACGTTATCGTGGAAGCGCAAATCAAGAATCCGCGGGTAATAGATTTCTGCCTTATAGGAAAGCGAGGTTATTCCAATCTTAATACGTTCGGCGGTCTACTTCGATTCCGCCGTCTAATTACGATTTGCATCATTTGAAAATACGCCTTCCTAAAAGCGATGCCGCGCAGAAAGTTCCACGATAATGGCCGGCGTGCCCACTTTATTTTGCAACATAGTTTTATTACGTATACAGGATGTCGGTATTTTATACCGCTAGTCAAAGGAAGGGGTAATATCAAGTACCAGGTGTTTGCCCTCGATAAATGTTTTCGATTGAAGCAAAACACTTGACGCGCATTATTATTTCGACGATTCGGTCATTGTTCGCTAAGAAGAAAGTACGATAATAATGATCGCACGATAATAAGTCAAATGGAGGATTATGTAATCAAATGGAAACAGAGCATGGTCGATTACAGCACGTGATAAAATCAGGAATTTCTGCCAATATCGAAGTTTAACTCGACAACGGGCGTTCAAGATACGATCGTTACCCTTAGACATCCGTGACTGATTCATACGCGTGCACTGTAATAATCGTGTTTGACCGAGCGTGCTTCCTTCCCTACAATACGATATGTATAAAGAAGGAAGAAGTGCTGTTCCGCCAAAGAAATGTCGTAGAAACTAGCCGTGCGTTCATGAAATACTTGAGAGAAAGGATTTTGTTAATTTAACAAGCCACCAGTACCTTTAACCGAGGATAGGTAAATATGTGACAACAAATTTTGTTGTTACGATTGCTGAGTCTCTGTTATATCAACTAATTATTAGTAACAGAAGTAAACTATATAGAATCTTATGGATAAACTTTAGGCTCGTTTACGTAGAGTAGGAATCTTAAATCGTAGGAAACCGATTAAGCACAGTCTAATATAGGAAGAATACTTGACTAGAATCGATCGATTTCTTACGATTTGAGACTTTACAACCGTCTACGATTTTTATATATATATGAGCCTCTTATTTGCTAGCGATACTATTGATTATTTGTTACATTGACGAATTAATTTGCAATCGATAACAAATCGATCGTTTTTTTTCCAACAAATATCACATTTGCTTTCCCTTGATTTGTTTCTATAACAAAATCATTTCTCTCAGTGAAGAAACGCGCTGTTCTACGACCGTCGAAGCCTCGTCTCTCTTCTCAACGAGATAAAGAAAAATAACCTGCCTTGCTTCACTTTTCCCGCCCTAGTGACGAGGGATATCGGACTTCCCATACGTTAAATCCAGGGTGAAATCGGTACGTTCACGCACGCGAACGATTCCCAGCGATTTTCATTCGATATCGGGATGAATGGTGCGACTCGTATCACCTCCGCAACCCGCAATTACCCGCTGGAGTCGTTCTTTCACATGCACTTATTGTATGTTCATTTGTACCAGTTTGCCGTGAAGCACCGGCGTGACTTCCCCGGAGCGTTGCAACGCACACTGAGCACACTGAGTTTATTGTTAGAACAAAAACTGATTCGTTATATGTGATGATTTGCTTGAGAAACCGGGATTTTGCTACGAAACTGGAAATCGGAGAAATCAGGGAAATTGAAATTGATCGGAGAAATTAGGGAAAAGTCAGGGAGTTTTGCGAAATTTTCTTTTTGGAAAATTAAAATTCTTAGTTTTAATGAAGTTCGATATGCGTATACATCACATCTACGCAGTTTCGGAGTACTATCAATTTAGCAATTAAATTCAAGCAACGTCAGCAACGTTAATAGTAATTTGCATTTTCTACGTTAAATTACTCCCAATAAAATATTTAACACGGTTTCCAAATTGGATGAAAATATATAAAATTTCGAAATATTGGAAGTTAGAGATAATCGTGAAATTTTGTCTGGAAATCGGGAAAAGCTATGGAATTTTAGAATGAAAGATTTGTAGCAACAATATTGAAAATGGATCGATCAGTTACTATTGCGAATCATTTCTCCTTATTCAATGTAACAAACAATACACAGTTTACAAATCACATTTGTTCTAGTACATTTATAGGTAAAAAATATGTTGCTAATAACTTATAACATCAGTCTTCATGTCAGAAGAATTATCTTGGACAACAAAAGTATTATAACAAATCATATTCATTTTCGGTATATTTGTTGTCACTATATCCACGAATCCAATTTGTTACAGATATTGATAGTTTGTTAAATTAACAAAATTTTTGTTCTCTCCATATGACGTATATCAATTAAATTCCGTCCGTCGACGAAGTCAGGGTTCGACTGATTTTCACCGGCGTTGGTGGTTAACTTTAATCGCGATCTATAGATCCCTCGTCCCTCTTTTCAGATCATAACGCTGGCCACGATACAGGTAGAGGAAGTGAATTCAATTAATCACGGATAATTAAGCCGGATGGTTAATTGAATTTTCTTCCTGTCTCTATTATATCACACTCGCCGGCGAATGTTACGATCTGACGGAGGAATTAATTAAATCGCAGTTGATTAAATTTACTCCTAATTAGACGCATATGTTATTCTTATTCAGAGAGAGATTCCTTTCGTCTTCCTTCCTTTCTCTATTGATTCGTACATAATTTAACGACGAGAGAAAATGCATCGCGATCGAAAATAAAATATATTTTGACATAAAACGTAATCATTCACGACACTGTTCGTACGGATTGGGATGTGATGGCGATTCTTAATAGCACACTAAAAAAAAAAATAACGTTATCTTAACAGCATTATTTTAACTGAGAACGATCTTGTTATAATAATTCAATAACAGTATTAATGAAACAAATAAGATTCTATCAAAACAAGAGCACGATATGTTTCATTAATAGTGTTATGTGTGTGAATTAAAGAAAATTATTTTAAATTAAAATAATGCTGCTGATGTAACATCATTTTTTTTTCTCAGTGTATATAATAAGACTTTCTTTCGGCCTAATCTCGTCACGACCGTACGCACTGAGTTCGCGTCTCGCAACCCAACGCAACGGACGGGACAGATAACTCCATCACGTGAGATATTACATACTCAATTTACGCATTGCCGTCGTTAGCGTTCGCGCGGTTATTACGGATACGTTGGGATACTTAATTATTATTAATGACTCCGCGCACCCCGTTACATCGTGCGCGCGAGCGCGGCGGATTTACCGTATTCCACGGAACGAAATCGTTCGTTTGTAATCAAGACGCGTTATGTTCGCTTATTTGATCGTAAATGACTCAACGGTTTCATATAACATCGATATGTACCGCCGTTACTTCAATGCGGATAGAGAAAAAGAGAGGAAGAGGGAGAAAGAGAGAGACGAGAAGGTCTGAAGCATGTAAATTAGAAGCGACTACAGAAGTCTGCGTGCGCAAGGAAAACACGGGAAAGAAAAGAAATGATTTCTCCCCTTGGCTATGAAAGATTTGCCTAAGGTGTGACCCAATTGCCTGATTCATCTTAGTTTATCGCAGAACGGAGCGTGGCACACACTCGATTAACTTGGATAATTACGATGTGTCCCGTAACGACGTCCAGCCGTATCCGAATGCCGATTACTTTCTCGTTTTTGCCATTTTGCATACGCGTTATCCGTCCACGCTCGTCGTCTACGCGGCGGGCGCATTAGATACGTATTTTCTACGTACGCGGAGGTACGTTACGGTGCACACGCTACTTTCTCGGTCGACCTATATGGCATTTTTTTCTCAAACCCCATACGATCCTCTATGTTGGCTGTATAACTCGAATCTGGGTTCCTTTCTATCGCGCATCATCGGATACACGCTTTTCTGCACTCGCTTAAAGTAGAGGGGGCGAACAGGAATGATAGATTTGGGATTCTTTTCCATCGCGTGATAGAGAAGAAGAAGGAAAAAAAAAAAGAGTTCCGTCGGCACTTCGGGAATTTTGTAGCACGTCTAATCTTTTTCGATAAGCGCGAATGTAAAGTAATTTTCTCCTAGTTTCTATCTATATTGCTTTCCGATTTACTCGGAATAATTTGTAGGATCTAGGATATATACCAATAATATACGTTTATGAGAGACCGTGGAACTTTTCCTATTGGAGTTGCAGATATGATTATTCGACGAACCTGGAGTTTAATTTCTCTCGCATCGCATAAGTTAGAGAAGGAAACTTTAATTATGGAATTATCCAACCGCGGGCATGAAACGTAATGAAACGTATTACAACTTATCCAACGTTCCATGAAACAGCGCATGAGACGAGTGAATGAAACAGCAACGAACGAAGAATATTTCTCGTCACTGGTTTTCTCCTCGCTGATCTCTCGGAGGACTTCCTCGCTTATCTTCCGGACGATTTCTGATTTTCCAGCGAAATTCACCGGATGACGCGCTGCCTCAATTTTAACATTAAACCGTGTAGGATGTCGACGTTTCGAAAATCACTTCGCGTTTGCGACCTGCATGACTGCATAAAGCAGCCGTCGCGGAATTTTGCGGAATTCGCGGCGGTACGTCGACGCGACGTGGCTTAACGTATAAGCCAATTAGGACTTGGATATTCTGTTGAGCTCGCGACCATTCATCATGCAAAGCGATTACAAGCCGGGAATCTGTGCCGTGATAGTTAAGACCGGCGGCAGTTAAGGCAAAATAAACGGAACAATACGAGAAACACGACTAGCGGAGACGCGGTGCAGGAGGGGGGGGGGAGGGGGATAGTCAACCGGTCGGTTGGTCGATCGGTTAGAATTAATGCGCTTACCTCGCTGGCGGTGGTGTAATTTGTTGTCAGTTTGATTTGCGGTCTAATCTTTCCGGGCGATTCCCGCGTCTCCTTGGCCGTCAAAGGCGAACTGGTCGTGACATCGGCGACTGCGGCGGTTGCAGAAGCCGCTGATTTTCTCGACGACAACACCGTGGCTGCGGTATGTTGAGTAGGCGAGATTATCCTCGGCGATGTCTCGGTGATGTAGGTAGGACTCGAGCCATCCTGTGTAGTACGGGAGGTCGGAAGACTCGCCGTGGATGACGTTAGTGACGGCGACGCGGATATCGTCGTCGCCGTCGTCGCCGTTCCTATCGCCGTCGCTGTCGCCGCGATTGTCGTTGACGAGGCCGGCAGCTTCAGCGTCGTCGTGGCGGATGTAGCGACTGTCTGCGGCACCGTTGCCGTCGTCCTCGTCGTCGTCGCCGTCGAGGAAGATGACGACGAATGTAACGTCGCGTTCGCGATCGGCCTTGACGCTGCCGTCGTCGCGGTGATCGCCGAGGTGTTCTTGCCTCCTCCGGACGTCATCGCTGTGGTTTTCTTGACCTTGGCTGAGTCGCCCTTCGACGACGCCGGGACGGCCGACGCTGTCATCAGCAGCAACGCAAGGCAAACGTAACACTGGATAGCCCGCATCCTTACAGTATCGATATTACGAAAATTGCCGTTTCCGTTACCGTATTTTCGCGTGCAATTTGTCTTCCTTCGAGGAGTTCTTACCGTATATAAGCGACGCTTCCTTTAAACCGGTGGTTCGCTTATAACCTGCGAATAAAATGCATATTATGTCAGTAACTATCATGGAACTGCAGTTGTATATTTTCTATCCCGTTAAAGCTACTTTAGACGATTCGTAATCCATCAGATTTCAAGATAGCATTTTGCTTGATTATACGTATATAAAATATATAAGTACATGCATATAAATGTATATATTTAATGTATACTTTGTATATATGTGCATTCTAATTAAATATTTTTTTATATTATACACCACATAAAATTATTTGCAGAATTCCTGAATTCCAGACATGAATTACAGACTGTCTAAAGTGGGACTTTCAAGAAACGGAAGAGATATTTTTCGAAAAGTAGCTCAACGCGCGTCGTCTTCACTTTTGCGTTTACTTTCTTGCGTTTGCATTGATTCTTTTTTCTTTTTTTTTTCCTTTCCTGTTTTCCCTCGAAAAATCGTCGCTTTCGCTTTTCCGCGTCAATGAGGGAATCGCGAATGAGGGAAAGGATTATAGACCTCGTATCTCTGCGGTTTGTCGAGATTATTACATGATACGGATGGGATAATATATTATAGAACTTAACCCTTTTTTTACAATCCTTTATACAATCCGAATGTTTGCTTTGAGACGACCTTAACAGGATAGAGCTCTCGCTCTCGCAACGGTAATTAGATTTTTCTGAGCGCGGCTAAAGTTCACGTTGAACTCAAGTACACGTTGAACTCGAGTACCATTTCGTCGCGTATGAAGCTCGTAATCCAGCCAGTCTTTTATCATATTACATCTTTCCTCTCTATAATTTTCTATCGTTTACTCGCATTTTATGTCTCCACAGAGTTCGTACCCAGCTAAGCGAAATGCACTCTTTTTTTCGAATGCGATAATGCAAAGTTAATAACACGAGAAATATAATTTCTCGTTTGTGTGACAATGAGAGAAAAATAACGTCTATATCGTGCGAAATTATGCAAATAAGACAAGAAGAACGAGGTAATTGCTACATGTCAAGTTCGACTCGGAGAGATGGAAATTCTCGTTGCGGCCAGAATGCCCGCAATCTATAGCTGCAATTGCGTTACGATAGATTGGCGAAATCGCGTAGAATTTCCGTTGTACGTGAAACGTATGTACGAGATATATTTTCCAATATTACGTAGCGTCTTTCCCTCATTCAACGTGTGTGCCCCTTTCAACGTGAGCCCGAGGTCGCTTTCCGTCCTCGCAAAAATTTTTTTCAACACACACACACACACACACAGGACCTTTCGCATTGATCGCGACTGTAATCTCGCGAATCAATCTCGCGATCTTTTCTTCGCGGTCGAGCAGGAGGTCGACCGCGTTTTTCCCGTCCGAAACATTTACGTCGACAGATAGGAATTAGGTGGGGCGAGGAGATAGATAGTTGGGAGAGGCGGCGTGTTTATTTGTTCGTCTTCCTGAATGTCCGTGCATCGGTCCATGGCGAGCTGACCGCTTATCTGCCTGCCTACCTACGTATTTTCCTTTCACGTGCTCGATCTTGTCCGCGCGTCGGTGCTTGTGCCGCAACAGTTATCGCACGTATGCCATACGACACTGGTGAAATTGGGTCATTCGGTACAAACCGACCATACGAGCCGTTATCTCGTTGCATTAGCAAGGCCGTATCAAACTGCGCTCGCTCGCTCGCGCGGGTGCGAGCGAACACCTTCGAGCACGCTTCGAGCATCAGATGTTAGACATTACGCTTCATTAGAATATGTATCTCACGTTGCTGAATATGTACCTGCGACGGATGCGCGTCTCGGTATAACGGAAGCGAGAACGCGACACGGACTGTGTAAAAAGAAGAGAAGAATGTCTATCGTTTCGAGTGAATACACACGCGCGAGATAGCGTGATAAGAATGCTGATTAAATGCGATCGTATTCGAAACTGTAACGCGTCGAATCTCTTGCTACTGAATCTCACTTACAGGGTATTTTCTCTGTATTGAAAAAAAATGCCTGGTTGGATTCACTGGAATTCTGATTGATCGAAAATGGAGGAATCTGAATTTTCTGGTTAAATCTATTACGAGTCCAATTAAGATAATAGGATTGATACAATGAAAATCTTCTGGTTTCGTTCATCTTTAACTGCGAAATGTGACTCTTATTCGAGTTTATTCGTTTCATTCGTAAGAAGAAGATCTGATTGTTTTCTAATGGATTAAATTTACGCACAATGGAAACTGTCCGCTATTCGGAAATTTTTCATACTTCTGCCATTCTTTCGTCACGGTAAACCGCACAATTGTGGGCGGGAGAATGAGTTTCCACGCTTCAACCGCAAAGTGTTTAAACATTCGCGACATTGCCCATTTGTACGAACAATGTAACAATTACATTATTCTTGTAATGAGGGACACGGAGAAAAAAAGATTTATACTACATTTATATGTAGTTTAATTTTAATCTCGATTTAATAACTAACTCTTCATCGTTTTCTAGTTCTAAGAATTAAAAAAAGACGATGAGTTAAAGTTAATCCACATTGGTAGAAACGGGCATTGTAGAGTTACAGTAAAACGGTACACGCAGTTTTAGAGAGCGAGTAAAAAAGGACGCTTTTACGATGTTACAATGATATGAATCGCTATTTTAAAAAGAAACATTAAGGTACGCAAAAGATCAAACCGTATAATACATTCGGTATCTTTTTGTATATTCCCTCTCTCTCTCTCTCTCTCTCTCTCTCTCAAGTCATATTTTTATGAAAAAATATGAAAAAAAAAATATATAATTCTTTATATAATTTTTTTTTCCATATTTTTTTATATTGATTTGTTTTTGTTGTATTATTTTCATTAATTACATATTTCTATTCTTATATTTTTCTTTTGTTTTAATATTCTTAAAGGACGTGCTCTAGACAGCGACAATAAATGCCTTTATCTATCTATCTATCTATCTATCTACCTACCTCAAACACGTTTCTCTCTGTCTCGTTAGCAATTCGTTGCACGTTAGAGTTATAGGCGAGCGATGAATAATTTCACCATTAATGAGCAACTCGCGAGAGCAACGAGCATTAATTTACTTGCGCAAATAAAACGAACATTCACGGATACGCATGCGTTTGTTTCGGCAATTTGTCGGACTAACGAGATTGAAAGGAAAGCGCGCGGCGGTCGACTGTACACAAAAGCGTCGTGCAATTAGCAATGGATATGAGCACCGACGGAGAAAAAGACAGACAGAGAAAGAGAGTACCTTGATGGATCTTGTAAAATCGTTCGCGTTTCACGTCTTGCGTCCGCGCGACACATAAAGGATCTCGCGCGATTCAAAAGCCGAAGCAGAAGACAAAGAGAAAACGGCGAGAGATTTGCGCGGCGACTCGCGTCAACGCCACTGACGACGTAACCGTCTAACGGATCTTTTGGCTTAACGCGTTGCGTAGCCCTTTTCCTCATTGTAATCCCCCGTGGTTCGTCGCATCATTTGCCACAGCTAGTCGGAGGCTGCCGTAATGCGCGAGATATCAAAGAAACGCGTCATGTGCGTCCCTTTCTTGCCCCTTTACGATAATATTTGAAAATTGCATGCAGAAACTACTTATGATTGATTTACTTTGAAAGGGAATCGAAATAATAATAAGATCTGGTTTCATCGATAGTAAGATTAATCTCAGAATGAACTTACTGTTTATCTTTTTTTTTTTTATTCTAAGAGTTCTACCAGTGTAGATTAACTTTAATTCTTAATTTTTGATTCTTAGAATTAAAAAAAGATAGTTGAACTGAGATCAAAATTAAACTACACTGAGCAAAATGGTCTGGTTGGGTTAAATAGTAATTCTGGTGGAAAATGGACGATTTTTTTCAGTGTATAAACATTGATATAAACGGGCATAAAAAAATTAGAAAAAAATAAAGAGTAAATTGAACCGAGATTAAAGTTGACCTTACATTGAACAGAACAGGTTACATCTAAAACGTATGAAGACAAAGGCAAATTCTTTTCCCCAATGGAAAATCGGCTTGTTTGATGAACGATCCACCAAAGATACACGGATAATAATATATTATCGTCTTCTTCCTCTCTTCCCTTTTCCAAGAAGGAACGAGCAATATTCGTAATAAGAAAGAGGATGAGAGCTTATAAGAAGGAAGGAAGGTACGATTATCTAGAATAAGACATTTAATAATAAATACACCCACCGGCTCGATTCGCATCGGTAGCGCCCGGTAGTTGGACACGTAGATTGTAACGGAAGTACGAAGAGCAAAGTCGGCGGTCGTGATCGGAATGTTGTTCCTTCGGTATCTACCTTCGCTTCGGTGGCGGAATCATCGATGTCGAACGAACATTGTTCATAAAAAAAAAAAAGAAACATAAATAATGAGGAACGCGCGTCTGCGATGTACTTCCCCGTTTTTCTCAATCCAGTTAATTTGTACACCTGACGACGTTGCGAATTTGTAGACACGAAATATCATTTATATAGAAATTGAATCAATCGTAAATCGAATCAGCTACCGCTTTGTGGCTACGAGACAAGATAAAAAAGATAGCAATCGCTTCATCATCAACAATTACGCGCGTGGCAAAGCAAACGTACTTATTTCACAGTTCCGTTATCTGTAGTATAATAGTTGTATGAATAATGGCTAATAGATAACAAAATTATTTGTCACATGTATATTTTTTTATCTATTACATTTGATGTCATTACATATATTGATAAATTGTAATTTTGTTATCTATTATTAAAGAAACAATTTCTATTAAATTCTTTTGATTTATTTATAATAGAGAAACCAAAATGAAGAGAAAATGAAAGAAAATGATCAAAAATAAAAATAAGCATACAAACTATCACATGTATTAAATAAAAAAAATCATAGCTGAAGGAGTCGATCCTCTTACGATACAAATGCGATACAAATGCGCAAGTACACTATCCCGTATCTTTATTAACATTCCAAAGCAAAACTATGAAGATTTCATACCTCGTGTAGCGCGTAGGTAGACTGACCCTCGACCTTATAGACTTTCGTCCTCGCGCCACCTTGAACGCGACCTCGACCTCGACCGCGATCTCTGATAGGAAAGAAGGAAGACGTACTTCTCGCGGTCCCTGCACGCCACTGACAAGCCGGTAGACCAGTCGGCTCTAATCCACCAATCGTTCTCCGATTTCTCGTTGATCCCTGATTGCTTCAATCTGATTTTCTTCCAAAAGGAAACCTTTACGGTTCGCGCGCTACCGCGATCGAATATACAGTACACGGTGATTTGACAGCTACGATCACGCGACTCGGACTGTTTTTGGCACCCAAGTTTGCCAAAAGACAAAATTCCGTCTCGCACGTCTAGCGCACCCTCTTCCGCGTTCCTCAACTCTCTTCCGAGGCCGTGAACCGTACTGTTCGCGAGTCGTTATTGGTGCGTTATCGTTGCTGCTATTGTTGGTGCTGTTGGTGCTGTTGGTGCTCGGAGAGACCGGTGTGGATGGAAGATAACCCGCGATGAGATTGTTTCGGGGTTTGAGCCCGACTGCGGTCTCGCGTAGGACGCTACGTGCCTATGAGTCCCCGCTAGTCCCACTTACCAACCAACCAGAAACTGCTCGGGTATACTCGGAATCCTAAGCTGCATCTCCGCCAATCCACCTTCCACTCTTCTGCCTCTCCGTCGCCCCTCGTCGTCGTGTTCGCATCGTCGTGTTCCGCGCTTGTCCGGGATTATACTTGTGCTTTTCGTCTTTCGGCCCCGCCAGAAAGCTGTCGATGAAAGACACGGGCGAGTTTTGCGGCTGGAACCGGTCGTTTCTGGACCGCCAAGTGCCTCTTAATCAACCGTGAAGAAGATTTTGCAGACTATTAATTGATATTGGTGACAAGTTATGAGGAGAGAAGTCTGGCTATCTTTGCCTACCTTTTCTCTCTATTTCTTTCGTTCTTTTTGCATAATTGGAAATCACGAGAGATATTTATAAGATAGGAACTGCTGTTTGAAGTAGCCATCGCTGTTCGCCGCTTTGATCTTAAGAATATTACTTTGAGATCTAATAGACCTCGACTGAACTCCCACGTATATCTTCACCTTTCGAATAGAGAGAAATTTCCATGCGCCGCCTAAAGCTATAAACTTTCTGCTCATTTTCTGCTCATTTCTGTATAAGACTTATAGTCTGTTAAATTGATTTATATATATTTGTGGATGAAAACTAACAATTATGTCGGTAATGAAATTGCAGAAAATACGTAGACAAAGATTTATCTTCTTCTTTTTCTTTCTTATTTTTCTTATTTAGTAAATCCAGGAAAACGCAGAAGCAAGTGTTACGATGGATTTACTTGACTTAATTAGCAGATAAACATAAATCGCGAATTATTTTAGAAAGTTCAAATCTATAGAGAGGTGCAGTCTCTATAGATGCGTCAAACTGTGTTTCCTCTTTATAAATCCAACACATCGATAATCATTTTTGCAAATCGTATGAGAGAGAGCATACCTCTCCATTATTACTCTGTGGCCGTCATCTATAGGCTCTCACTTTATCACGATTTTTCCATCGTGGACACGGTTTTTCCATCCTAGGCACGATGTCGAGTAACACGTTTGGGGCATAGCGCGGCCTTTCTCCAAAGATCGAACGCGTATTCTTCCCGACTGCGCGATTCATCTCGGTGAAAGTCTGCGACTATCTGTTAGGCATAAGATTTGACGTGGACGCTAATCATTGTCTGCGGTGCGCAACAACCGCTCGGCCATAGTTCGCGTGTTTTTCTTCACCGCGAAGCAGCGTGGAGAACGTCGGAGATTCAGCGTCGATATCGACGACTTCATCGGGAACGCAACCTCCAGCTGACCATTAAGAATCGGAAAAACTGACCCGCTCTTTATGCCAGTAGGTTTTTGTGCTTGAAACGAGGCGAATGCGGTTCGCGTCTTCGGAAAGAAAGGAACAAATAACGTGTTGTAAAAAAGTATTGGAGAAGTGTGTCGGAAAAGATGTACGGTTCCGCGAGAAATGTAGAATCATTGATTGTTCCCCGGGCATGGCCCGAGAATCTGCACGATGATTTTTGCGAACAAGTTCGTGACTAACAGAAATATCATCCAGCGTCCATAAGACGAGAGCGTTATGAAAACATGCGATGCTCGAATACATTTTCACCGAAGAAGAACCCTTCATATTCATGAGAGAATTCGCTTTCTAAGCTCTCCATGCATTGGATGTGCAGCTTTTACAGCAATTGTTGTTGCGAAATAATGAACAACTGAATAATTGAACAACTATCGAATAATTCATAGAAATATGTGGAAACTTGATTAATTATCTGATAAAAAGTTTCTTCATTTTCATTCACTAATTTAATTAATATTTATTTATTTTAATTTTTATTTTAATGTTTATTTTTACCAACTTTTTATAATGGTTTTAATCACGCGATCTCGTTTATTGTTGTATTCTTAATTCTTCTATCGAAATAGAATGTGAATTCATGAATACTTTTTTTTATTACTAATGACATCATTAATGTTTTATTATATTTAAATTATTAATTATTTTTATATAATTAATTTATATTGCGATCTTTTTGTTTTTACTTTCATATCTATTTTCAATCAGTCTAATTACTTGTTTCACCCTGAGGATGATTTGATCAAGGTTGAAACGTATGTTGATTTAATGTCATGTTATGATTTGATGTTTATATCGATTTGATAAATATTAAAAATAGATTAATTATCAACATCTAATAATTAGCATTGACTCGTAGCTTTTCTTTTCTGGCAATTTTATTTTAATCTATTTTAATTTGTTTTTAATATTTATCTTAATAAGTACCTATAATAATATTTATTATAATTTATTCGCAATTTATTCGCTGATCATTTTTTATCTGCAACATTCACTTTTAATTGATATATTATTTATTTATTTAAACAAACAGCCTTTTGAAATTAAAAACTTAACTCTTAAACGTATCATAAGAACAACACATTGGCATGCCTAACTTAACTCAATTGCTTATAACTTTTCATCAAAAATATTGTAAACACTTTTTTCTTTGAAATGCCAGATATTAAGACTCAATCATTTTTTGATTAATTTATTGTTAGATTTAACGTAATGCTATTGCAAAAATTGTGCTGTTTTTAGCTATGATTAAACTGATGGTTTTGTAGTCTAACTTTAAAAGTTACTGAGATTAAATCTAAACTACAAGTTAATTAGAAAATCGCGGACCTAAAAAGCATAACGTTACTATATATTATTGTATTCTTATTAGTAAAAAAGTTATAAGCAATAGAAGCATTGGAAAAAAGCATTGGGAAAAAGTCAAAGTATACCATACCAAAGAGGCGTTTAGAGATTAATTTGATTTAAATTAATTTTTTGATCGACCGTTCAAATACAGAAATATACCTTCGGCGCGATTGAAGAGAACTCTGGTTAAGACAGCATGGCGGTAACGGTGCCGTGCAGATGGTAACATGCAAGAGTGGAGCATCCGCGAGTCGCGGGTGATGGACCGTGACGTTCTCACAGATAACTCACAGCTTCCGACGTCCACTCGCGTTCTGTCTCTGTCGAGTTATCCAAGGAATAACTCGGCAGAAGAGCAGCGGTTCCTTTGTGGCCCCCTCGCGAGGAGGAGGAGTCACGTGTAATCATAAGATTCGATTTTGAATTTGATACACGTCTTTTTAACGTATAAAATATCAGAAAGTCACTTTTCCCGAAGAGGGAAAAGATGGCACGAATAGAAAATAATATTGAGAGCCGATAATGGGTGTGTTTATAACGACATCGTGAATATTGTTGTGTTTCAAGAAAAATTTCTTGTTCTATTTGCAGAGCACTGTGTCTTCAATGAGAAAGAAAAACGACTAAAATGATATTTAAGATTCCGATGATTTAGTTTCATTTTCATTTATGATATATGTATATGGCGGCAAAGAATTTTACATTTTTAAATTACAAGATTAAGACAATGTTGTGTTGCCGTTTATTGTATTTCTACGTAATGATCAAGTTGAAATAGTAAATTAGTGAATTTTGATAGATAAAATTAAACATTGGTTTTTAATTAAATTATGTAAGCATTAGTTTTTAATTAAATTATTATCACTAACTAGAGATATCTCGCTAAAATCTACTATTGTTTACTTGTTGATATACTATAGTGATATCTTCTTTATCGACTTGCGATAGATCGGTAGTTGTTTTGCGTATCCTTGACTCTTACCTGCATCCTCAATAATTTCGAAGATCGATAAATCGCTTCTTTATCATATTCTCGTGTCGCAAAAATACGTATATTTCTTGAACTGATTTTGAATTGATATTCACATCTCTGCATTAATTAGAAATTTTTCTTTCCAAAGAAAATTAGACTACAAAGGATAAAAAATAACATTGTTACACACACGCGCGCATATACATATATATATATATTTTTTTATATTTATATATATATTTATATATACTTTTTATTAAGTTAAAGTAAAAGTAACAAATAACATCGAGAGAGTCTCTTCCAAATAGTCTTACGATGCTACCATATACAATATACTCCCCGTATGAGACACTTTCGGAAGACCAGAGATGAATATATACAAATTTAAAACGACTGTGATGATATAGCTGCAACGTTTGCAATATTCTATGAAGCGGCATAAAAAACGGTAGCACTAAGAAAGAAAAGACTCAGCCGTTGCTACGATAATCGAGGGGCATGATAAGGCATGAGGCCCGTGTTACATTGTGGGAATACGAGGCGATCGTTTCGAAACGTACTGTACAAAACTGTAGGCGGGCATGATTCTCTTATCTCTATATATTCTTCTGTACATTACTTTTTACACTTAACATTCGCCAACGCCGCTGGGGATTGTACATGGCACGGCATCACATGGCTGGTACAGCCGACCGATCGACACGTATGTTAATTTCCCGTTGTTCGCGATTCCTACGCGACACTTCCTGTCTACGGGGCGGATCAAGAGGGAGACGAAAAGAATAAAGAAAGAAAAAGAGGAAAAGTATTACTAAAGATAGAACGTTCGGATGAGCTCTCCTCGAAAGATCGTCCGAACGTGGCTCGTCGCCACGATCGAGAATTGGAAGCCGCCTCTACGATTTTACGGCAACGTTTCGACAATCGGCAGGTACCAAATGGCCAATTGTTGCGCGCTTGAAAAGATAGACCTAACCCACTGTGATATGGGAATCAATCGTCTTTCTTTTTATGGGGACATGTAAGATATAGGTATGAGTAGTCCATTGAAGTTTGGATTTTTTCGTTTGGCAGACATCCTGGATCCGTCGCTGTAGCGAGAGATCGTTTCTAACGCATAGTGGCCTCTCTCAAATGTCGTAGGTCATTTTTTCGTAACCATGATACGGCACGCAATAACCGCTGTAAGTCTTGATCTCCAGGACACCGGCGTAGGATCGTGCCGGCGTAGAACCGGGATCCGTGTGCCTTCGCGGGCATCGGTGTCCACGAGGACACTGACAGAGAGGCGAGGCGTTCACCTCCTCGAGCTGCGAGTTGCGTCTTTTGCGAACGGTGAACAGGCGGCAGGGCTCCTTATGCTGACATCGTATTTTCTGCAAGATGAACAGCAAATTAATCGCGCGCTAAGACTTTTTGTCAGCATTGCGCCGAAAATGGAGGAAATCTTAGTATCGAAATATAATAGGTGTAATAATAAATCTTAAGCCTCAAGAAATTGACCAATCACAGTCGAGTATTCTTCTCACATTCGACTGTGATTAATTCTTTAAGGTTTAAGGTTTACTACGTCTATTGTGTTTCGGGACTTGGGCTGCGTTTGATCTAAGCGCTTTCAACGCTTCTATCCTTCGTGGAGAAAAATGAATAATCTTACTAGTCTAATAAAAGTATTCTTGCTACTTTTATGGAATTTGTGACAATTTTTTACTTGTCTGAAAATAAAAAATATCGGAGAGAAATAAAAAGTATTATATATTACGATTGTAGTCAATCAAATGATTACTTATGTAAAGTAAATGACTATTTTCAAGAATAGAGAAACACGACAATTCTCAAGATTTCATACACTTGTATTTTTTTTTACTGCGCAATAAATTTTGTCAACGTTTAAGGAAAAAATACTCGTTGATAAAATAAATTCTATTGTGTTGTATAGCAATTTATAGAGTAAGAAATAGTCACAAATTGCAATAGCATAAAATTTACTTTACAAAATGTGAAAACTTTTCAGTATGGCTACACAACGATTGATTATTTACTTGCCGAAAAAAGTAAAGTAAATTTTACATAAATGGGCGCTTGTTCCTTATCAATTCCATAAAGTACTGGAATCCTACACTGAGAAAAAAAAACAGTTAATTTTAATAAATATTTAGTTCATTACTGCCAACTAAACATTTACTTACAGTAAGTAAATATTTGTTCAGTAAAAAAAATGATTGTTAAATCAAATTAACATTTCTTGTATCAAATAAACATATCTTTATATTTAATAAATATTTAGTTGTAGTATTTAACTAAATATTTATTAAAATTGACTATATTTTTTTTCAATGTAGCACATATTATTTTACATTTTTCTCCTTGCAGCCCAAGTGCGTGGTAAAATATGGGGATATCGACAGATATATATCGATTTTAGTGAAGCTCTTTGAAAATTGCATTTCGAGATAAAGTCCCGTGTTTTTCTTTATTTCTCGTTGACTTACGCTTTGCGGAGAACAGGCGAAGGCATAGACGAAGCCATGATTTCCATTTGGCGATTTGTGAGGTTGTCTACGCACTAAGTATGGCACGCTATTTGGTCGACATCGACAATAAACACGTTGCACTGTTGCATTCGCTGGACCACCTCCGGGTGCCAATGTCCACGTAATGTCCCTGTGGTAAAAAGTTAGGATATCTGAATGCGAACTTACAATTTATTACAATTTAGTACCATCCATTCCGCGAGTGAGTAACTCGGATTCAACAGTGATTTTCTTTTTGCACGGTTTAACGCGTTTTGAAAAGAAGCATTTGTTCAGTGAAAAATTTACAAGAAAAATTATACTCTCTAAAACTTTTACAGTGAATTGCATTTTAAGAAGTGAAATCTCACTCATAAGACAGTATTCATAGTCCGTTCTTATTTTAAGACTATCTTAAATAACATCTTTTACTAATATTGAGAGAAAGAGAGAGAGAGAGAGAGAGAGAGAGTCAGGTTGATTCATCTTAAGACATCTTAAGATGGTTTTAAATATAAGAACCGACTACGTGTATGTGTGTGTGTGAATATCTTGAAAAAGACTGTCTCAATTTTCAATCTTTAGTGTAAGATTCCACTTCGAAGAATTTAAAGATTACAACAATTTCATCCGACTGTTATACAGTAATAGAGTTTAACGTAGAGTGAAGCTAATTGTAAGATCCAAGAACGCAAGATGGAATCGTCGAATTCGAGTGGGAATCGCGGGGAATGCGTGTCGTGATCTAACTAACTTGAAGTAATGACAGATGGGAAGTCGTTTCACGGGCTCGCAAAGCTTGTAGCGGCGCGTTTTATCGGCGATCGTGTGTCCGTCGTCTCCATGAAGACTGCTGGGGCAGGCACGGCCGTTCGGGCAACGACATTGTCTCTCGACCCACGGTGCACCATATAAATCCACCTTGCTACATACCTCGCTCCGATCCGCACACTCCGGTAACTCCTTCTCGCTGTTCTGCGCAAACAAGCACCCGCGTCATTAATAAAGCGATTGACACTCGTTCGCCTTTCGCAGAAATTCAATTGTCTCTCCGATCCGTTCCGGAATGGCGATTTTATCACTTTGTTGTTTATTTCGTGTCGATGGTGAACACGAGCGCAAATACACCGAATCAAATTGCATTGAATGCGAGCAGCTGACCGATATTGCACAGAAAACGTCGACGTTATTAATAAATAAACATCTGGAGACCTGTTTATTTCTCGGGGTATGATAACGGAATTATTAGTAGGACGATTATGATCGCGCGGCGATTGTACCGTTGCGTAATAATAAACGTCTGAACGCGTCGTGTCGCGTTATGGGACTATGGTGCTTAATGAAATAAACGGGACGATTGCGCACAAGATTCGTAACTGAAGTATATCCGCTCTTTCTGCCGGCGATACAAAGTCTGCTATAACTGGACTATTTAGATGTTGCCAGTCCATTCATTGAGGCAATCGCGTACGTCCTGTCCGGCCTATCGTCATCGGCGATGCCAACTACCGTAAGGCGACCATAATCTCGAAATATCTGCTGAGAATATATCGTTTAGATTTTTTGCACTAAATTTTCAATTCACAATCTTGCTCTTCTTATATCTCGTATTCCTCTTATCTTTTTTTTTAACAGTTTTTATAACTAACGAAACTCTTTGCTCGTCACGAGTGAATTTGTAATATCAAATTTCGTCGTTTGCTGAAGCAGAAATTAATCTGCTTCCCTTCTCTCCGAGAATCTTGTATTACGTTACGGATTTACGAGTACAAAAACGATTTAAAAAACTGTCTTCGAGCGATCACGCTCGTGATTTCTGTTAACGCGATACGCATTTATCGAGGTGCACCTCGATAGTGCGTGAGTCGAAGTAGTTGAAGCAACGTAGCCATTCAGCGAAGAAACGTTCGAGGAAATGGTCTTCCGCCGTTTTACCGCCGACTGTGAGCATTCGACTTTTTGCTATGACCATCCGTTCATCTCGTTTGTCTTTTTGTCGCTCCCTCAGATGTAGTTTCTACTATTACTACTACTACCATTACTATTATACTACTTACTACGATCATTCGTCACGGCACAATGGATCGAACGAATAGCTTTTTATGAGGAAAATCCTCTTTTTCATCCCGTTCCTTTAGACATCCGTTCACATTTATATGTCTAAAAATCTTGCCTACCAGCTTCCGAATAATCTTTTATTTACTTACGATATTACTTGGAGTTTCCGCAACATAGCCAACAAATTGAAGAGATAACTTAAAAATTTACAGAAAAATTCTTTAGCTAACAAATTATAAAAAGGTAGTATTTTTTAAGATAATTTTTAGAAACAAATTTTTAAGACAAAATTGACTTTCTATGTAGAGTAAAGTGATATAAATCTGAACGAAATGAGATTTGAAATTTTCAAGTTTGATTCTCTTCTGTTTAGTATCTTTATTCTCCACACAATGAGAGGGTTATCATACACGGAGAGAATTTTTTCTTAGAGTTTACCCTGAAAATATGATAGCCATGGAACAACATTGTATTTCGAACAATTTTAATGTAAATTATCTCTCTCATTCATTAATAAAACTACAATAATAAAGTACAAAATAAGTTTGATTAATTTTACCGAAGTGCATGGTAAAAAAATCTTTAAAATATTGTATTGTATTACAACTACCATATTTTAAGGGTAAATTAAAAAAAAATTCTCTCCGTGTACTTGAAAAATTGGTTTCAAACTTTATTTCGTTTAGAATTGTACCACCTTATCCTAATTGATGTTTTTCATAAATTTATATATTACTATACACATAATATAAATTTACAATTTAATATCATATATCGTCTAATTAAACAAAAAAATATATTTGGCCATACGCAGGTGGTATACACATAAATAATTTACAATTACTGAAGACTGACATTCGTCAAGGATGTTTTTAAGCTGCGCTCATCCATCTCACGGCATTATATCCCAGTTTCAAACGCTTCCGATTGTTAATCGTATTTGTCCGCATTATCCTTCCCGCACGGCCTTCCCTACGCATCTCTTTATCCCACTTCCGTCGGCTCTCTACGAGCGAAAGAAAAGGTGAAGCGGAACGAAAGGCGAAGGAAGTTTTTGAAGCTGATATAGCGGCAGCGAGCAGCGGGATTCACGCACGTACACACGCGTACACACATGGAGAACGGCGGTAAACTAAAATGGGATAATAGAAGGACCGGAAGGGCGCCGTAAACCATCCGGAAGTTCTCACGCGTCTCTCGCTTCTCGCACGGCCGCAATGAAAATGACACCTGGCACTCGGGATGGACATACTATACGAAGGCAAAGAAGGAGAAGAAGAAGGAGGAGGAGCCGCTAGGCACCAGCGACGACGGAGGAGAAGGGCCGCGCGAGACGAGGAACGAGATGTGGAACAAAAAAAAAGAGAAAGAGAGAAAAGAAGAAAAGAGAGGCAAGAGACGCACAACACGCAGGGAATCTGGTCGGATGGATGGATGGATGGATGGCGTTAGTAAAAAGAAAGATCTCTCGCTCATCGTTCCATATAGCCATACCGGATGTCTCTAAGCCTGGAAATCTTGCCGTGCGATCGAAAACATAATGGCACTGGCTGCTCCGTATACATCTCGGCGGGATAATTAATCGCTACTCGATGCGTATCTACTAATTGTCCGAAGAGATAATCGTAATAAGCACACAGTGTAGATCATGAATGGAGCGATCTACTACGGAAAAGGATTACCCTCTTTGATTTATTTACTTAAATCAGTAATATGAAATTAAACAAATCCTTGTATTAGATTTTTCTTTAAACACATTTTTCGAAAAATGAAATACAAAAGAAAGATTACGAGGAAACGAATTATTATTCTTCTTGGCATAAAATCTTAAGAAAAACCCTATTCAATTGTGTTGAAAATGGCATTTTCGGCTACACCGGATATGTCTTCAATTGTATTTTTCTGCTCTTTTCATTTCTATGTTTATTGTTAGAGAAGCACAGGTAGTAGAGGCACATGATTGTTGTATTAATCTACGGTTACCTGTTAACAACTGAAAGGGAGAAAGAGAGAGAAGTGAGGATACAATAAAAAGGGAAGTTTATTTTTCAAGACCGATTTTGTGGTAGCTCGTGTGATTCTCGTCCAATATGCAAGGAGCAGTTTTCTCTCCTCGACGACATCGTCGTCATCCCCACCGTGTTGTTCTTGCGCACGTACTCTCGGCCCACGTGCGAACGTACGTACGTATCTACGATACGTTGTACTTGGGTGTCGCGCCTGTCCGCACGTGTATACCTACGCACTGTGCCTCACAGGGGACACGTATGCACGCACGGACGCACGCACGCACGCACGCACGCACGCACGCACGCATAGACGCGACGCACACGCGCGTATACTGTCGACACGTAGGTGTTTACAGCAACGACAGCAGCAACAGGTTCGAGCATCGAGTGGGCGCCGCTCTTTGCTAACGGCTACGTTTCCCTCTCCTTCTACTTCCTGCGCCTGTAAGCGGACGATTTAGCTTCAAATCCTCGGAATGCTACCCGAGAGTATGTATACGAACTCGCATATATGTATGTATATATCGTCGGAGAGATATATGTACATACCGGCACCGGGACTTCCGTAACATCTAAAACTTGTTGAAAATCGAAACGTAACATCTGTTGAGGAAAATCCATGAAAGAAGAATTTGGCGGTCTAAGATTTGGCGGACGAAGGATCGGTCACGAGAGAAATAACACGAGATCTCTCCCACCATTCATGTTCTCGGCGATTCAATTGCGTGGCTCGATTAGATGGATTCATTAATCGTCGGGATTAGGTCGCTAAACATTTAGCCGCTTTCTGGAGCAATTTAAGTGCTAATTCGTTCGAGGAACTTAATAGAGCGAGTAACGTATTCTTAAAGGAGGAAAGTCGATATGAGAAAAAAATTTGAGAAATATGCTTTATTGAAAATAAAAGGACAGAAAAGTAAAAGGATGCGACATTGACGCTGCAATTCATGTGGCTTATATAAAGTATTGCCTTTCGTTTATTGAACGTGCTTAAACGCACGACATTAATACCCATTTCTACTAATAGTTTAAGTTTAACCTTCGCTCAGTTCAGCTAATTCTTCATTTTTTTTCTAGTTCTAAATTTCAACTAAGATTAAAGTTAATTGGCAGAAACGAACATAAGTGAGTTACGTGTATCGGTCAGCTAGTCGATCAACATATTTATACCAATGGCTACATAATAGTTACGTAATATATATATAATGAATTAGAAAATAGGAAACTACATATATAGTTGCAATATACATGAGTTACATAACTTAAGAATTGAAAAATGACAATAAATTAACAAAGTTGACATGGGAAAGTGGCTTACCCCGACTTGATATAACACCCTGGGCTCCTCGTGCGACATAACGTACTTCTGGTTACGATTGATCAGGTCTATCTCGACCGTCGTGTCGTCGAATTCCTGCAGGTCAGCGTGATACTTGCTTTCGTCGATGAACAAATACTCCTTGAGATATTCGTCGTGCTCGATTCTCGACGCCAGATCGAGAACCTCGCATTTGCTCCGACGAATGACTCCGACGATCATCAACAGAATGTACAGCAGGTGCCGTATCGTTTTACCGGTCATCGTGTCGCAGTGTCGCAGCAAGCACAGCAAAGTTCTTCCCGATAAAGAATCCCGATCCTTTCCCTTTTTCTCTCTCTTTCTCTTTCTCTCCGGAGGGAACGTTTGCTGCGTTAGGTGTTTTACTCCCAGGTGGGGGGATGCAATAAAAAGAATGGTAGGGGGTTCCGATACGTTCACCTTCTTATTTGCGCGACAAGGCGTTCAGAACGAGCGGGAGGAGGAATACTCAGGGAATACTCATAGCAGAAATACAACACGGTTCAAGAAAACTCGAAGGCTCGCCGGTCGTCCGTTACTGCTACTTGAAGTCCATCTTCGTGAATCTCACCAAACGCGAGTCTTCTCATTGATCGATCATCGGAGAGAAGAGGAAAAAGGAGTTTTTCCTATTGTTTCGCGATGAACCTCGATCGCTCGTCCCGAGGAGATCGACTGACACGTACTTTTTCCCGAATTCGCAGATTCTACGGGTCAGGCCCGCTGGAAACTCGCACAATTCGAATCTTGTACGGAAGTCTCGTTTAGATCTTACAATTTTTTTTCTTTCAGTCACGAAAACAGGATGTCACGTGTCTTTGTTTACCGCGATCTCCTCTTATCCTCCTCTTCTCGCGATTCCAGAGACGCGAAAGAACGGTTCCCCGATCGTGATCGACCGATCTTGAAGAGAGAAAGAGAGAGGGGAGCCTTCAGGATTTGATAGAGCGTTTGATCGCACTCGCGCACTCTCACCGAGTCGCCGATCGTTCCTTGAAATCTCTTATCTATCTGTCGCTGATTCGTTCGTTCGATCGTCCGTGCGGTACTCCTTTTTTGCGGATCCTATGAGATCTGGAGATTCTCTCGAGAAACGGAGCGCGATCGCTAAAACTGAGAAGAAACAGAACGTCCCGACGAGATCGGCCTATGCGAAGGTATGCCGTCCGCTCGACTGGACTCTTAAAAGCCAGAAGTAAAGCATGAATGGATGCCCCCACCCCTTTTCCTTCGCCCTTCCCGTCCCTCCCTCCCGCGCCTCTCCCTGGCATCTCCCCCTCCTCATTCTCTTCTCATTCTTGACTGCTCCTGCCTCCCCCCCCCTCTTCCATTCTGTCCCTTGGCTCTTACGTCATCCCCACTACTACTCTCTATCCGGGGCTCCTCTCTATCTCTCCTCACCGAACGTTTTCATCGTCGCCGTTTTTTCTCGGGACTCGTCGCCGTTTGCCGTTTGTCCTTGTATCGCATCCTCTCTTCCACGGGCACTCCGTACGAAGCGTGCATTCCTCTCCGCTCTCCCCGGGAGCGTATTAACGAGTGTTTTACTCTTTCTCCAGAGGCCGGCCCGTTTGCTTTCGCGCGCGCGCGCGCTTTGTTTTGTCATTATCCGCTATGTTTTCTACACATTCTGTGTTCCACGATCCTTTTCTCTCTTCCCTCGTGCTTTTATCAGCGAGCCAGCGATTTCCCTTCCTTGTATCTTCCAATCGTACCTAAATACGTTTACCTCGTTTCTCGCGCAATTCCGAATCTCGTTTGAGCATCTCATAGCTTCCTTCTTTCTCCTTTTTCTTTAGCCTCTTTTTTTTGTGTGTTCTTGTTTTTCTTCCTCTAGATATCTAGATTTACTAGAAATACTAGAAATACACATTTTATCTTTTTTTTATCAGATAGTATATTTTATCTTTTCAAATATATCAGGATATTTCTGCGATTATTCTTTATCTTTATGAAAGGTAGCTGTATTTTTTAGCTGATTTCTCGAAATTTATCCTTACAAGTGATTCATATCTCGTATCTTTTTTGATATTTACAAGATTTTTTTGCATAATACGATAAGATGTTAACTATTTAGAACAATGCCAGTAACAATAACAATGCAAGCTTCTTCAAAAATTAATCACTTGAAGGTCCGATTCTTATATTCAAGTATTCGGAAACATTTTGTAGAGTGCTCGAAGATATTTATTATTATTAAAAGTACAAGGATACCGTAAGAGGAATGTCGCGAAGAAATGCTAGAGCAATGCAGAGACAACCATTTCTGCATCGTGATATTACCGATATTCATGCTGAGACATCAACAATTGATGATGACTGTTCTTGTTACAGGGAGATTGTATGCTGTGTTCGGTAAAAGACAAGGCCGGATCGTATCTACGGAAAGTGCTTATGGCTTCGGTGGACAATTCAGAGTATTGGCCACTCTACCGGTTCTAGAGAGCTTCCATCTCGCAAGAGAATTACGGACGCAAACGTCCGGATTGGCTAGTCCGCAACTAGTTTTTAGTCATTGGGAGGTAAGCGCGTTTTCTTGTGAATTAAAGTGTTCATAAATTTGAGACATTCTTAGAAATTGTAAAATAATGAATTAAAACTCTAAGCAACGTGTTGAATGTTTTTTATTATATCTTTAATATTTAATAAAAGATCTAAAGACATGATTAAAGAATCCATGACAATTTCGAAGAATTTTCTTTTCTAAAAAATTTTATAATACATTAATATTTTAATTGCTCAAATGAACTTTCAAATGTAACGTAACGTTCCTGCGTTACAGGTAATCGAACAGGATCCTTACTGGGTACCATCCACGGAGGAAGAATACCTCCATTTTGGTGAAAAGGCGGACAGCGATAATCGAGCTAAATGCTACATGGATGCGGTTCGTCGAAGGAAAGGTCTTCCTGTGGACTCCCAATTAGTTACGCATGCTGAAAAACAACGGACTCTTTCGAAAAACAAGTGATGCGAAAATTCTTGTTAATGCGAATCCTTTCAAAATCGCGCGTATATCGAGTTTCATCTTTGTAGTAGAAACTCAATAATCTTACGTCCATTAAGTCTATGAAATCAATGCAAACATTGAAGAACATTTGTTCCTTCCTGCATTATGTTATGAAACAAGATTAAATATACACTGATCAATATTTAATTTTGTTAATGAATTAGATTAAATATTAAATTGAATGTCTTCTTTACCTGATCATTTCAAGTAGGTTTTTTTTTATTTTTTCGACATTTTTAAATATGTTACAACATATATTTACGATATATTTTGTATACAGAAGACCATATTATGTACGAATAAAATGTATGATGTATTGCATTTTATTGAATAAAAATATACAAATTATTTAGGAAAGAAGACATAACATATGATGCTATTTACATTAAATAAATGTATTACACTTGAAGATAAATGTACATATGTATACATTTTTGTTAAAACAATATGAATGTATCGCAAGTTTGAAAAGTATTTTACAAAAGGTTTTTGATTAAGTAAATTCCTTGTTCCATATAGTAAACTATTTCGACTAATCATCTGTAAATACAATCTTTTTGCCTTGAAATCCTTGACTCATGATTTCCTGCTCTTTTTTCTTAGCCATCCAAGAAGGATGTAAATCGGGATTGTCATCCTTTTTAACAATCGTATTTCTATTTGTGTTACTATTATTTGTCCTGTTATTAATCTTGTGGGGTGTCATTTTCTTGGATTTCATAGAAAAAGATTGTTTGTCCAGAGATTTTTTATTTAAGTTTATATCGTTTTTGCGATTTGCACTTTGCTTTTTAACTCGATCATTCAATTGGAGAGATTTGGCTCGTGTATTATGTCTGTGAGATTTTGTGTACGACGTCGAGGCACTGCTCCCTTGATAGTTTTGACCATCCGCCGTTATGAAGAAGTCATCAACCACCTTTACTTGTTCAGTCGCGGTACCTGCGGAATCTTGGCTTTCAATAGACATCTGTGCGTCTTGATTGGTTTCTTGTTCCTCCAACAGTTCAGTAAACCTCTTCACTTTTGCTTCTTTTGTAATGCTTGATGGTTTAATTACATTTGATTGTTTATCTGTGACTGATGTAGTTTCTGATGTACTATCTTTTCCAAGTTTTAGTGATTTTTGCTTTTCCAAGGATGTACAATCTTCAGCCAATGTATTTTTGCGCTTGCGCAAATTACTCCTTACTTCAGGTAATTCCTTCTTACATGCCTCCTCGTCATCGGAGTCATGTTGGGGTTGTTCAACGTTTTTGTCAGCGACAACTTTTTGTTTCTTTGAACTCTTATTCTGAGAATTATTTTCTTTAGCTTTCCTAGTTTTCACAGTATTTTTGTCTTTTAATTTTGTAGCCTTCTTCTTCTCTGTTAAATGCTTATAATCTGGGAATCTCTCCTTAAACTGTATTAGTCTTTTATTCAGAGTTTTATAATTCGTCACCCTTGCCATTATGCGAACATTATTACTTGATGACTGATCTTGTAATATTTTAGTCAGACTTCTCTCATCCAAGAGACCAAATTTTGAAATATCGTCGTCTTTAATTGTCTTCAGTGCATAAATCTCGTCAACCAGCCTGTCAGCTTTCCTTCTACACTTCTCCTTTTGTGCTTCATTTCCATGTCTATCCCGTAAGAGTTTAGCTTCCTTGATGAGCTTATTGACTATGCAAATTCGTGCCTGACGAACTGCATGTCGTAGAAGGATGAACTGAAAATAGTATAAATATCGTACCTCCTTAGTAAAAATTAATGTCAACAGATGATATGTGCTTCGTTTTGATATATCTTACCTCATTATTCATTTCAGATTTTGCCATTTTTGGATTAAGAATCTTTCCCCAGTGAATCACTTAACAATCGTATGGACATAAAAAAGTCCTCTTATTTTTCTTATGATTTTAGCAATTTTATAGAAGTGCGTAGAATTTCTTTTTCTTCTAATTTAATAGCAATCGTCGAAATAATAGAATTTTCGGCCAAGCGGGCCAAGAGCGAAATACGTAGAAACCTTTCTGCAGATCGTAAACAAGCCTAAGAAAATAACGAACATAGTTTGCGTTCAGAAGAATTCTCCAGAGCTGCGTTCAGGAATTAATGCCCAGATAACTCTAAGTTATAGATTACGTCACGTATATTATAGCAAAAATGCACTACGGATGCGTTCCAAAACTTGACTCTCAACTCAACTGAGTATCTTTTATCTTTATTCAACATTCGGTGACCAACAATGGCCTAGTTTCCATCGAGGTTTTAAACCGGATCAGAATGTAAGAACCAACCAACTACAGTCAAGTATTCCCCTGTTACAGTCGACAGGGGAATGCTCGACTGTAGTTGATTGGTTCTTACATTCTAGTCCGAATTAAACCGGCTTAACCACTCTCGGTGGAAACTAGGCCAGTGATAAAATAATACTCGAGTCGACAGAGTTGAATTTTGAAACGCAGCCCAGAATAAAACGGGGAACACAGACTCTTGCATAAAGGTATGTTCATAGTGTCGCTCATATTCAGTAGAGTCCTCTAGTAAGGAGTGAAGTCATAAAGGGTACCGGGATCTCTGATTGGTCAGATTTCGAATCTCTTTAAACGCCGCCATTTGCAGATACTTTCGATTTGATAGTGAATCTGCGAATTGGTATAAGCAACTGTTTCATGTAAAGATATCAAAGTAGCGCATAGATTCTCCATTTTGGACCTACTAACCATACCTTATACTAATAATACTAAGCGCTTATTGGACTACAGAAAACTAAATCGAAATGGCGGTCGAAATAGCCAAAAGAAAGGCTGTCGGCATTTCGGCTTAGATAAAAGGAAAACGCTTTGTTATCTTTATAACGTTTTCGGCCCGACCGACTAGAATTAGAAAATGCTTCGCTGTTAGTTGATGTTACAGAGAGATGTTATTGAGAGCACGAAACATCATTACTTCAACCCAAGTTAGTGCAAACTCAGTCGGGCCGAAAACATTATTAGTTTCAGAAGACACGAAATCGAACTATCAACTTATCGGACTGTCAACCATGATGGAATTGTACTGGAGATCGATTCTGTATCTTGAAACAAAGTGAAAATTACAAAAGAGCGAATTTACTAGAATACTAATAATTTCATTGGTCAACATGTAGTAAATTTGCTCACTTTTGTAATTTTCATCTTGTTTAAAGATACAGAATCGATCCCCTGTTTCCGGCCATCCAGCAATGGCGTCTTTCCGGTCTTATGTCTTAGCTTTTAAGGTGCATTTTCACGAGCTGCTCAAATTAGCCATTTCAGCGACAAAGTAGATCACGTGACGACTTTTGTCGCAAAACTATTAGAGTGATCATTTTATACATGAAAAAGAACAAGAGGCATTAAGATACAGTCACAATAGAAGGAATAAGGAATAATGATTTCAATCTATCAGATATCGGATATATCAGAATACATGGTTTCTGATAGGTTGGAATCCTTATTCCTTCTATTGTGGTCCCACCATTAAATTTGAGCAACAGATTCGATATGTTGTTCGTATTTTTTATGTATCATTTGCGATATTAATACGCTGAATCAAACAGTTATTAGATTATTCTGATTGCATCGAATCCTTTATTTGGATCAGCATTAAAAAAAAGAATAAATTAGGTTATGTATACGCAGTTAACGGTGATCAACACGGTCGATACAGTAAAACGTGGTCTATAATAAGAATTGGGTTCTTTACTTATTTGGAATATCTAATAATAAAACGTAAAATTGATATTTTGTAATTGATATTTTGCCTTAATTTTTTATATGGTCATTTGATGCTGATATCTAAACTTTCATAAAAGATAATATAACTAACGTTTATTCAATTATTTATTTCAATTAGATTTTACAATTTATATTGCAAATAAAACTAAGGGAAAATTTAGCATTGGCTTTTTCATTTTAGATATAATTTAATTTGCCAGGTTCAATATTATAATAATATGTCCAATATAATAATAATTAAAAATATAAACATAGACGTAATAGAATGTATACATTATAAATACTTATTCAATTTTGTAAATTACATAAATATCTAAATGGCAACATAATATTAAAATCATTTTTTAATTAACTGTATTTTTATATTTTTTATTGTTAATTTACATTCAAAATTCTGTTATATTAATTGTTCTCAATGTAACAAAAATATTTTCATTAAGTATAATGAAAGTATATTTCTTTCAGTTCTATAACACAATTTTGTCCATCGATGATTTTAATATCGGTATATTATCCGTAATATACATTTTTCTAATGTATGAGAAAAATGGTTCGATTATATTTTGATATCAATGTATACAATTAAATGCACTTTGGTTAAACTAAACATTTCTGGTTGTTACGACAAGACTCAAGATTTTACTGCTATATTATTTGGTAAATTATATTATATTATAAGAACTATATTATATAGATTCTTTCTGTAAGAACGATGATTCCATCATCAAATTAAAATTCCATCGAATGAGTATTGTGAAAAGTCCATAACTTCAACGATACTTCGAAGCAAACGCGCGATGCAACGAACCGGCTGCGGTTCGTCCAACTAAATTGGCGATAAGGATACATTAGTTTCCCCGTCGTTGGATATTTATATAAAGAAAACGATTTTACTCAAATATCTAAAAATTCACCTAAATAAATATATAATTCAGATAGATCAGAAAATTTTTAGATACCTTAAGAAAAATCGTTTTTTTCATGAATATCCTGGAGATACTGAATTCTTCCATCAGAAATAATTTTATGCACGTTTATGAGAAACGTTATATTGCGTGTACATTAATTTCTAAATATTTACAAAACACTTCATTAAAGTTATCAGCTTCATCTCGTCAGTATACGTGTCGTTCAAAAGTGACGTAAATAAAAAGCATCTATTATGTATGTGAAAGAGGACATATGTCTTTTTTCATCGTACTATTATACATGGTGGAAGCATCTATTATGCATAGTGAAAGAAGACACGTCTTCCTCTACTATGCTATTACGTATCTTTGAACATCTAGAATAAAGATATAATAGCAAAGAGTTTACCTTTATATTTGTTTATACTATGCAATAATACTTAATAATACATATGCATAAAAATTCCGTCAGAATAAAGTAATCTAATCTAGATTATCTGCATATACATACATTTTATTCCGTTATCCAATACTTGTTGATATATATATACTTAATTCTTTAATGTATATATGTACGTAACGTATAATATAATTCTCACAAGGTTTCTGATCTATAGAGAC